TTCTGCTTGGAGGCACACTAGCCTGCCGATTTCCGCCGATTCGACTTCTCCCGGCTCGGCTGCCGATTTCCGCCGATCCGACTCATTTCGATCGCCGATCCGACTTGTCGATTCGACTTTGGGGGCGCCTGGCAGGGAAGCCGAAACGGGAGCAGCGGCATCGGCGTCAAGTGTTTTTTTTTTTTCAATTCTCCAGGCGATCGCAAACATGGATTACGGGGGCGTGGATTAGCGACGGGTCCCGTTTCCGTGATCCACGGGAAATCGCGGATTGTCGCCACCGAGCGAGGCGGCACCGGCCGCATGTTGGGGAGGGCGCTTCCCCGATCCATGGATTTGGCGACGGCGCGCCAAATCCATGGATCGCTCATCCATGTTTGCGCGCCCCCGAATTTTGGGTTTCCACACAATTGGCTGGAGGGTGGGGGAGGGGCGGGGTCTGGGTCTTGGCCGGTGCTAGGTCGATCTGCTCCTGCCAGTTGCGGAAGCAGACTGGAGGGGTCCTGGGCAGCCGCCAGAAGCAGCCCGCCAAAGGCAGCCCAGATTTGGTCTATGGGAGGGGGGGGGGTGTGGGGGCGGGAGCCCGCGCCGAACGGCGAAACATTAAAGAAACACAGATCGGTACGCAGAGAATCGGGACAGCATGGTGTTTCTATAATTGTCAGTCTCCAGGGGCCTTCGCCAGGCCCTGGAACCACTGAAAAACAGCCCGGGTTAAGAATGTGTTCCTGGGGAAGGGTCCAGAACCTTTTGAGGATCACGCGAAAAAATCACGACGTGACGTTCAGAGAAGGAAGAGATACGGATACTTCTGCTCGTCATAGATAAACCTCGTCGCCACAGCTGATTCGTTTCGACATCCTGGTCAGAACTACCCCAGGGAGAGATCTGGGGAGTAACCATATTGGTACCTTTCGGTGCCCCCAGAGAGGGAGGACGAACGACGAGCGACGACGACGAAGACGGGCTGTGGACGGCGATGATGGCGAGGAAAATTGCGACGACGGCGATGGCGGCGAAGAAGCTCAGGATCGGCCCCGAGGATGCTGACGCCCTTCCCTCGCTCTCGCCGCTCTGGGCATCCTGGGGGGGCCCTCGTCGCCCTCGGTGGCTGGACTCGCCCTGGTTTAGGCTGCTCCCATCGTACTTCGAGACCACATCCCAGAAATAATTCTGAGCACCCAGAAAATCAGAGGCCAGCAACATATGTACACGTACGCGGTTAGTTTCCCCTGGAGTGCGTGTCAACGCGGACGTTCGTGCAGGCAAGGCCGTGGAGGGCGTACATGTACATATGTCGTTGCTCGCCCAGAAAAGTGTCGTATTGTTTTGGTGCTCGAAATTTTCTCTGGTGGTCAAGGCTGCAGTAGGTTGGAACATCATGAGCCCTAGTCAGATTACACACCCCTGAAAGGTCCAGGGACCGACCTTTCGAGGATCGAGCTTAGTCTTGTTGCTTTGCGAGTTTCGCCTTGCTAGGGCCCCTGGCCAGCTCCTCGTGAGCACGGCTGGATCCGCCTGGAAATTGTGTATCCCAAGATTTGCCAGGAAGTCGGTTGTCAAAATCCAAACCCAGACCCTGTGGCGTGGGCCAGGGAGTAGCAATATATCGGCGTTCCCCTCAGGCCGGGCCACAAGGTCATGCTGAAGCTCACCGAGCCCAGCCACGTCCAGATGCACCTGGACATCCTCGAGTCGGGTTCGCGCCGGATCGTTGTGCCCTTTTGTCGGACCAGGCCGGACGGACGGGTGCGCATGGGCGAGATGGCGGCAGAGGATCAGCGGGTTACCTCTTGCGGGGCGCTCCTGTACCTGACCAATCTGGAGGACGTCAGCGAGACGACCAAAGGCGCGTACAGGTTCGTCGCGACACACGTAGTGCGTGGCAGGGTCTCCATAAGCCAACTGCTCAACCCCGCGGTCCTCTTCTGCAGCGACGAGGAGGCCCAGACCGGGACGGAGTACCTCCGCGCAGAGGTTGACATCTTGGACGAGCAGGACCCCGCTGTCCACAACGAGGATGGCCTGCGCAATCTTCCAGATTGGGAGCGGATCGAGGGGGACTGGACGGAGCTCAACGGGCTGTCGGAGGTCCTGGAGGAGCCGAAGCTGCACGGCAGCCGCGCCATCCGGGACATAAGCGGCTCCACCTGGAAGGCCACCGCGGTCTTCGAGCTGCTGACGAGGAGGCTGAAGGTGCACCGCCGACACGCGAATGCCTACGGGGAGGTCCGCAAGTGGATCAAGGAGCAGCAGAGGGCCGGCCAGCTGCCACAGGCGCTCCCAGTCGAGGAAGAAACATTGCACAGACATGCATTTTCAGAGCTCCGTGCGGATTTCGCGGATCGGCGCTGAGCCCCCTCTGGCGTCACCCCTGGCGCCGCCCCTGACGCGCTCCGCGCTCCTGGGAGGGGGGCCCAGCACGGATCCAAGAAATCCGCGCGGAACTCCGAGAGTTCATGTTTATGCCATTCTCTGTTCCTCTACACAGAGCAGCTGAACGCCCACAAGCTCGGAGTGCCCGACGCGCTGGTTGAGAGGCTGAGGAGAGCCGAGCAGGACCGGCCCGACCTCAGCGTCGAGCACTGGCTCCCGTTCCTGAGCATCTTCGCCACCGGCGACGCGGAGAGGCGCGGCCAGATGCTCAGGTCAGGGGCAGTGTTAGGGGGATAGGGGACAGGCTCGAGGTTCGAGCTTCTTCTGCGGGTGCGTCGGTTTTCGGCGGCTTGCCAGCCTCGGAGTGCCTCCAGCGGCTGCGCCTCGCCGAGGTTGTTCCCGGGGGTGCCGAGATGGTCCCGAGCCGCCGCCACAGGCCCGAGGTATGACCCGAAGACCACCAGGGGACAGGCTCAGGTCGCCCCAAACCACCAGGGGACAAGCTCAGGGGGGGATGCATCGACCCCCGATAGCCGATGTGTGCCCGATAGCCCTTTCCCGCCCAGGAAAGTGGGGGTTCCCTATCGGAGCACATCGCCGATCTATCGGCGATGTGTCGCCGATTACAGGTCGAGGTTTCCCCCATGAGCCAGTCCCCCCCAACGTTCCCCCTCAGGAGGCTGGTGTGCGCCGAGACGAAGACGACCCGCACCGCCGTCATGCTGCGGAGGATGCTGGCCGAATGAGCCGAGGGCAGCCCGGCAGCACCGGTCAGAGGAGGGCGAGTCGAGTCCACCGTCGCCACGGCTGGATGCAGTTCGGAGCATCGGGGCGTCTGGAGCCCGGGCGGAGTCCGGGGATCGGTTCTGAGCCGCCGCTGCCTCTCGCCTTGCGGAGGCCCAGGGCACTGCTCCCGTCGGTGTTTTTTTATGCCGTTTTGGGGGGGTCTCCCGGAGGCTTCTCGTCGCACCGGCGGGGTCCAGCTCGTCCTGCTCCGAGCCAGGCAGACAGGCCGTGTGCGGCCGGGCCCGCCCTCCTTCTCCTCCTGCCTCCCTCCCTCCCTCCCTTTTACTTCGGGTGGGCTTTTTCTCAACTGGGGCGGGGGGATTGACCTTCCAACAGAGCTTGCCCATCCCCCTCCCCCATCCCCCTCCCCCTCACCCTCCTCCGCCTCTTCATCCTCCAGCCCCCCCTCCACCCGTTCCGACAGCGCGTGCCCAACCACCCCCGCGGACCCAAGGGGGGGGGCGACTATCGCCCCATCCAGAGTAGACCTCCTGCACCCTGACGAAATCAAGACGGCAGGCTTTCTTGTCGCAGCCGAGGGGCTCCTGGGGGGCAGGCGTGGTCGGCCGCCCGGGACGGTAATGAACAGTTTTCGGGGTGGAGCAAGGGTTCCATGAACGGGGGCGAGAGTTCCGAGGGCCACGTGGGGCGCTCCAAAGAGGTCGAGGGATCGAGAGAGTTGGGTTCTCCTCCCTGGCAGAAGGTCGGCGGATGCCACTTCAAGAGATGGCGGTTGAGGGGGGCTCAGGGTTGCCGGCCCCCCCGACGTATCGAGATTGAAAAAGCACACTCTTCGGTTTTCGAAGTCCGCATTTTCCACCTCTTCCCCCTGTTGCCTCGCATAGGGGCGACTCACAGAGTGGACAGAGGGATGCCCGACAGCGCGGGACAGGTCGCGCGACCCAACTGCACCCTAATTGGAACGCCGCTGAGTGTGTTGCTGATGATCTGAACGCAAGGACAATCGCGCTCGCTTTAGGACGGCGTGTGCGACACATCCGCGTTCCAGTTGCGACGACATTCACCTGGCTATTCAGTGTACAGAGAGTTTGCCAGAGTATGACATGTGGACTGAATGCGCTGATGCGTTGAGCTGGCTTCCTGTTACAACGTATGCATCTGCAGTCTTATTCAATAGATCTAATGCTTATCCCGCAGGTCTTCGAGTTTGCGGAGTAAATTGTCTGCGGCCATCTGAACTGGTTGGAATTCGGATTGTATAGCTGGTTGTACATAATGCTTCGGCACACGACCGCCGTTCTACCTCTTTGACAGGTGGCTTGCTGTGCGACACGACCCGGGTAGGCGTTGTGTCGACAACGCGGTGAGTCGCTCAGTTTAGGCGCCAAGATGGGCTACTACAGTGCTCCTGTTTGCTTTGCGCGATCATGCGGAAGGCCCTTTGGGTCCCCATCCTCGTCTTCGTCGCCCTCATCGTCCTCTCTCCTCCGTCTCCTTGTCATCCTCCTCGTCCTACTCCTCCGAATCCTCTTCCGTCAACGGGCGGATAACTCTGCCTGTGTTCGCCCAGGCACGTCTAAGTCTTAGTCTCCTCCTCCTCCTCCTCCTCCTCATCCTCCTCCTCGTCCTCCTCCTCCATTGCATCCCCCTATTCATCGTCGTTCTCTTCCTCCTCCTACTCCCTCTCCTCCCTTCTCATCGTCCTCCTTGTACGCGCCCTCCTCCGCCTCCTCCTAGCCTTCGTTCGAGCGCTCTGATGCCCAATGTAAGCCAGAGCTTGAAATCGCAGTATAGCTGACGCTCAGCGTATCCCACCATCCCATACAGAAACAAACCCCAGGCAAGCTGCCCCGAAAAGGGAAGTGTAGCGGCATCTAGTCCAGCAGTTGACTATCGCTGCCTTCGCGGGCTTTTCAAATTCAGGTGAGGAGAGAAGGATGAACAGGATGATGGAGGATGAGGAGCTGGTGGAGGAGGATGAGCGAGCATAAGGAGAAGGAATCTGACGGAACACGCTCCAGTTCAATTCCAGGTGAACCTTAGGTGGTTGGAGAGGCAGGAGGAGAAGAAGGAGGAGGCAGAGGACGATGACGATGGTAAGGATCGGGGAGGAAGCCGGCGACGGCGTAAACATGAAATGCTTTGCAGGACATTCAGGATGCTCCGGGGGGCCTCCAGGGCCCGTACTGCGGTATTTTAGAAGCCTGCTATGGCTCTCTTCGGGGCCCTCTTGGGGGCCCTGGGGGCCATCTTGGGTGACATTTTGATCACGGGCGACCCTGGTGTTTGAAGGATGTTGGCTTTTCGGGGGTATCTTTACAAGGCGCCGATCACAATTGGAGCAGTCTTGCGGACTACTGGAGGCATGCTCGAGGCCAGCTTAAAACATGTAGCGCCATGTTGGAGACCATACTCTGAAGACCTGCAGGGCTGGCGCGGACGGCCGAACGACCCCTGCAGCGCGACACCCTGCCCACACGGTCGGCGCCGCCAAAACTGCGCGTGGAGCCGCGCAAAGGACGCACCGAAAGGCGCCGCGCACGGTCGCGCGCGCCGGAGGGACTCTGAAAGTGCCTTCGGGGCGGCTCAGGGGTGACCAAAAAATGGCAGAGTTTGCGTTCCAGCGCATTTTCTTTTGCGGCGTTGGGCGCCCTGGTGCGGACGGCCGAACGACCCCTGCAGCGGGACACCCACCCCCTACAGGCGGGACCCCCCCCGGGACCCTTGGGAAAGACCCCTGGCCGTGGACCGGGACCCGGGCCGGGGCCGAGGCCCGGGCCGCGGCCGGGGCCGGGGCCGGAGTCGGGGTCGGGATCGGGGCCGGGGCGGGTGCCCGAGCCCGGGCTGGCCCCCCTCCACCGGGGCTCTCGGGGGCGGAAAAGAGGGGGGTGATGACTACCCTGACCTTCCAGAGAGCTATTTTTTAGCACTGGAAACCTAAAAACCTAAAAAACGAGACGAAACAGCCTAAAACCAAGACGTAAAATAGCTCTGGGATAGGTTTTTACGTCGGGTGCTATTTTTTAGCCCTCCTGGAAGGTCAGGGTAGGGGGGGTTGGATATCATGGCGTGGGCCATGATGTTTCTCCAGATTCCCGGGCGCCTCTTCTTGTTTCATTACGTCCCTGGCCCCCCCGCTGGGCCGCGCACATGCCGCCGGTCATGATTTGCACCCCCCCTCTTGGACACCCCCCTCTCTGCCGCTCCCGAGGCTCGTCTCTCCCGTCTCCACACGGGAAGAAGGGAAGGGAGTCGACTCAAAGTACGACGTCTCTGGTCTCTGTTCGCTCTTCCATTTTCTGGGGACTGGCGACGAAGACGACGACGACGACGACGACGACGACGACGACGACGACGACAACGTCTCACACACGCCGAAGCGTCGGCGGGTTGGGGCACCCGGGGCCATCTTGGCCCAGCAGCCTCCCAAAGGATGCCTCCGAAGGCCACAGTCCTTCAGCATCGGGGGTGGACAGAACCCCCAACAGTGACACGTCGATTAGTGAATTGTCCATTTTCGGTTCTCGAGAGGGCGTCGTGGCCGTTATTAATCGCTTCGCTCATTCCGCCGCCCCATACAGTCTCATGTCTGCCGTTTGCCCGAGGGCCTGGTGTCAATGCGGCGCTTTGGGGGTTCCTGGGGCCGCTTGGGGGACTCCTGGGGCGCTCGGGGGGGCATTTGGGGGGCCTCCTGGGGCCGCTTGGGGGACTCTTGGGGGCCTCCTGAGGGCCTCGTGGGGGCCTCTTGGGGCCTCTTAGGGGCCTCTTGGGGCCTCGTGGGGGCTTCTTAGGGCCGAGGGCTCGAAATGTTGTTTCGTGTTCCCTCTCTGGGGCCCCCTTGGGGGCGTTCTTGGGGCCCTCTTGGACCGTCTTGGAGGCTTCTTGGGCCGTCTTCGAGCCCTCTTGGGCCATCTTGGGGCCCTCTTGGGGGCCTCTTGGGCCCTCTTGGGGCGATCTTGGGGGCCTCTTGGGCCGTCTTGGGGCGTCGGGAAGCCGAAAAGGTGGAAGCTCCAAAATCTTTCAAAAACCTAAGGAAAAACTATGAATTGTGCTTCTTGGGGCCCTTTTGGGAGTGCTCTTGGAGGCCTCTTGGGGCGTCTGGGGGCCATCTTGGGCGTCTTGGAGCGATCATGTGGCATCTCGGAACCCTTGGGAGCCTCTTGGGGGCATCTGGACCCGTCTTGAGGGTTTCGAGGACGTCTCGGAGCCCTGTTGGTGCGCTCCTGGAGCGCTCCTGGAGCGCTCTGGGGGAGTCTCCCGGGGATCGCTCGGGGGTCGGTCGGGGATCGCCCGGGGTACTTTTCGTCCGGGGACCCCCAGGGGCCGCCCCGCGCGCGCGCGAACTAGAGATACTGTTAACCAGTTACCGGAGACCTT